GGCCGTCCAGCCAGTTTTTAACCCAGCATAGAGTGCACTTATCCAAGCTGTGAGCAGCCAGCTTCTCCAGGAGAATGCTGTGGGAGACAGTGTCAAAGGCCTTACTAAAGTCCAAGTCGACAACATCCACAGCCTTCCCCTCATCCACTAAGCAGGTCACCTTGTCATAGAAGGAGGCCAGGTTAGTGAAGCAGGACCTCCCCTTCATAAACCCAGGCTGGCTGAGCCTGATCCCCCGGTTGTCCCGCACATGCCGCATAATGGCACTCAAGATGATCTGCTCCGTGACCTTTCCCAGCACCGAGGTCAGGCTCACAGGCCTGTAGTTCCCTGGATCCTCCTTCCAACCCTTCTTGTAGATGGGTGTCACAATACCCATGTTCACAATGTTCACATAACCAGAACTTGTGGAGCCATCTTCTGTTTCAAGGAGAGAAGTTTTAAGTAGTTGTTTTTAAATAAAAAAGGAAACTATTTGGTATGGCACATGTGAGTAATATTAACATAGCTTTTCTAGTGAGGAAGGCAGGTCTTGAGTGTGAGATCTCATGAGGGCTTAGGACTGGGGTTTCTCCATAGCTCTTCAGTAGTCTTTGGTGTTTCATCGTCATGGTTGCCTTGTGTTTAATTTGGATTATTGATGATTTCTGCCTTACTATATTTTTAGAAAGGGGTTAGGATTTTGAAAGTACCACAGACTTCAAAAAAAGATTGCAATACAGTGAGGTTACACCTGAAGTCAACTCCTGTTACCTGGAGGCGAGGGAAGTAGCCTCACCGTGTTGAGAACTGATGAGTAGCAACACTAGAGAAGGATTCAAATAAAGTTCTGGCATGTGTTTCAGAAGTTGGTCTCCTTCAGATACTGACCCCAGTTTGTGGTCTTGGAAAACTTGTATGTAAAGCAATCAACTCTTCCTTTTTTGATCCAATCTCAGGTAATTTCAGATCAGTTTCATAAATGGTATTTCTCAAAATGGCAGGTTTTTTCATTCTTTTTTTCATATCTTTATCTTTCATTTTTCAGTGTTGTAAAGAAAGTGGCCCAGTATATGGCTGATGTTCTAGAAGACAGTAAAGATAAAGTTCAGGAGAATCTTCTGGCTAATGGAGGTAAAGCGTTAACCACGATATGTGCATCCTAAAAGTGTAGGAGGGAAGGCAATGATCCTGAAACATACTGAATGCTGCTTCTCTGTATGACATTCTGAAAGCTTAGTTTAGACATGGAAGTACTTTTTTCCATGAGTCACTTGCCCTGACACAAATTACAGGATCCAGAATGGCAAGAAATTAGATCTACATGTTAAATACTCACTTACAGAAGCCTTTTGATCCTCTAGGCCTGTACTTTGTCATCACTGGTCTCTGGTGGAACATAAAAAGTACTGTTACTGATCACTGTAAATGTTCTTTGTATTAGTCTGTCGTCTGAATGGGTAAGATTTTATGTAAGCTATGCTGGAATACTCAGTTGTTCCCAAATTGTCCATTTTATTATAGTAAAGAGTTGTACTGGTCTCTAAATCAATGTTTTGTTTTCAAAGCTGTTTCATAAAATTTAACACAGCTTGTATTGATGCAGGAGAGGCTAATATGAGTGGATTAACATGAAGACAAGTGCAGCGGTCCTAATTAACACAGCTATTCTTCGATAGGGGCTTAGAGTAGTCTCTCATAGATAGCTTTACAAAACTGTTGCTTCAGGTGAGCCACATAATCTTTGCTGCCTTGTTTCCCATCATAACCCTCCCTTCTCCCACCCGTTTCTCACACAAAGCAAAAAATAGTTGGTCTTGTCTGTACTTCTTCAGCCATCATTGACTTAGTAGTAAATATCGTTTAGGGTCTACAGAGGTGGAGAAACCAATATCTGAAGGCAGAGGTCACAAATAAATTGCAACTTGATTGTTTTCAGATTTCTTAAGCAACAGGGTCCACACATGTGAAGATCCACAAACAGTCTGTTACAGTACTCTTCTGTTACAGCAATCCTACATGGAATATACATCAGTGTGTTTATTGTCTATCTTAACAAAGTTCTTTAAAATTTTAGTTGACTTGGTCACCTATATAACAAGGTTCCAGTGGGATATGGCCAAATACCCAATTAAGCAATCCTTGAAGAATATTTCAGAAATTATTGCAAAGGTAAGGTGATTTGTTTTATAAAACTTCCCTACTTGAACTTGAGGTATTTGCGCACAAAACTTGGTACTCAAAGCTATTTGTCTATTTTTGTTAGCTTCATGTAACTTTGATAACAATAGTAGTGAACCTGGTAACAATGTCTGTGTTTTAGTAATCAAAGTAGTCTATTAGGATGGGGGTAGTATTTGGAGAGTGCTTCCTGAAGGCCATCATGCTGTTTTTGCTAATTTTTTTTGCTTCCTAAGACCACTGAGTTAACAAATAAATAGCTAGAAAATGATGTTGCTTACATTTAAATTTTGCTGTACTGGCATGCTGTTTGCCCGATGTTCTCAAACTTTGTGGGCTATTAGCAGTGAACCAGGGAACTTATTTACCTTCTGAAAGCTATGGCACTCAGATGTCAGGGGAAAAATAACCCTTCAGTGTTAGATGTAAGGAAAGCTCATTTGAATGTTGTCATGGGTTTTCCCCCTGTCTTTACCTTGGTAAAGTTTTTCACAGTTTGGGGATTTCATTTGGTTTGTACTTGCTGTGAGCATACGTAGGGTCCTCAGCAGTGACTTGCTTTATTCAAACAGCGAAAGAGTTCTCCGTAAGCTACCCTCGCTTTAATACCTTCGCAGCTTTTTCAGGTTTTTTCTTTTCTGTTTTCTGTAATCTGCAGACTGGGTCTTGGAATTATCTCTGTCAATAAAATACATAACCTGGAAAAGAGAAGCAGCTGCTCCGGGTACATACAGAGATAGTCTTTGGTGATGCATGTGTGGGAACTGTAATCGGGGTGGGGATGGGGGTAAATGCTGGCAGACTCATGGTTTGCTATAGCTGCAGATTCTCTAGACGTTAGTTTCTTTCATGAAACTATTAGTTTAAAATTTTTGCGGAGATCACAAAAATCTTAATATATGGTACATAGCTGACTGAGAATGCAACTAACGCTTTCATTTTGGTGTTTTCTTTGGGGCTATCACTGCATTTTGAATTTACTCCACAAATTACACTCAGTAACTATTCCTGGAAGGCATCTGTAGTGTGGAGTTTTGTTGGAAGAAGACTGACTGCCTTATGACTCTTAAGATTTGCTCATTAAAAATATCCCACAGACACAAAATAATAATCTCAATATCTGACACTATTTAAGTACATAAGCTTTTGTGCCTTCAGAAGAAGGTATCAGAATGAAGCATTCAGCTGTTTATAGCAGCTCCTTGGCAGGTATAGGCATGAAGTTTAAGTTGGGAGAAGAGGAACTTGGTGGGGAAAGAGGGATAGAGAAAACATAAGAAGACAGGGTGAAGTGGTTTCTACAAGTCTTACCAAGGAAGTGGTTCTTGAAAAAGTTCCTTTCCTTTGGTTTGGCCTTAAAATAGGAGTGAAAGTTACTGAATTGCAATGAATTACAAAGGAAAAAAAAAACCCACCTCTTTAACTGTGTTTTGTCTCATTTTTGGAACTTACCTGTTGCCATAGTATAGCACTTGTTTTTGTAGCAATTAAGTTTGTTGAAAAAGCAACAGAGAACATGAAGGGATATGCCCTTTATTGAAATATTATGAAGGGTTCAGTGCATATTATCCCGTGTCCTGGAGTTTGCTAGGTAAGTTATCCGCTCGCAGCAAAGTTGTACTCCAGAACCCAAACTTTAAAGTAAATAACTTACATTTTTCATCTAATTTAGGGACCTCACTGAGTTATTAGACTGGATACTAAATGCAGAGAAACAGGTCTGCTGGATTTCAGCCTGAATCATCTTGTTGAGGGTTTCCATTTCTCTGCATGTTTAGCTGTATGTGTCTTCTATAGGGACAGCTTCAGGGACACTTGTGTAATAAATCTACTTTCAAATAGTTTAAAAAACGCTTTCAGTTGCAAGCCACAGATGTGTGTCCATAAAGTGGAGAAGAGAAGGAAGATGACTGAAACCACCTTACGTTCTTGTAGAAGTATCGCCTAGGAGATAATATCACAGGATTTGAAGCAGTTTTGTCCCAAGGCAAAGAGAGTCCTGACATAGTTAAAATCTTCACTTTGGCATGTGATTAGCATGAAGATACACGAAAATTGATAGAGCTACATGCATTAAAATTTGTGAAGCCTCTTGACATGTTGATGTTAAAATAACTTGAAAAGCTTTTCAGATCATGACATGCTACTTTTCCTGTATGGTTTCATATCCTCCTCACTCACTATAGCAGCAGATTCTGATGTCTGCCAAAATGAGAGTAATGGCAACTGCAGTGGGGAGTTTGTCAGTTGAGGAAAAGTTATAGCAGTGTTGGAAACATTTAAAATAAAAGGAGATCTACCGAAACTATCCATCAAGTTTTTTCAGCTTTTAACTTTCAGAAGTATGGTGAACCCCAGTGTCACAGGTTACATCAGTCAAAAAGTTTAAATAACCTTAAATACTCATCTGTTTAAAAAGTAAATTGTCGTGTTTTCAGAGTATTTTGTCTAAAGCATTGTGGTATCTGTAAAGGTGCAAGCTGTCAATGTGTTGCCAAATGAAACAGCCAGAATGTTCAGGCTTTTAATGACTTCTTCCTGCTACAGACAAGTGAACTGGTGTGTTACCATAAACAAGGTCGCTATATAACTAAGTGACGTTGCTTTTAAAAGAGATTTATTTTGTGGAAATAAAGTCATATCTGGATCCCCAAGCTGGAGTGATGTATGCAAACAAAATGTTTTGTCAACAGTCTAAGCCCAAATAAAGGGAGAGTCCCTTGTCTGTGTCCCTTGACTGGATACTTGTCCCTGGGAATTTTTATATGCTCGTACCTACGTACCATAGTGAGGAAGCAGTGAAGGAGGGAGTAGGCACCATTACAATGCCAGACCAATAGTGCTCCACGTTCTTTCAGTTAGCCAACTAAGTGTATTGATTTTAAAATACTTCCTTGTATAGGGTGCACGCTGATAGGAGTATGATTGGATGTTTAAGATCTACTAATTGCTTAATTTGTTTTGTGTTCTTCCACTTGCTGCCAAGATAGCTAGCTGGGAGTGAATAATTTTTGGTAATCATTCTAATTAATCCTGGAGGATGGATTTGAGAAAGATGGCTTACTTGAGCAGCAATGGCAAGCTGAATGTGAGAGTCTGAGTCTAAATAGCAAAATAGTTGGAACTTTGATATGAAAATTCGAAAGATGATTGAAGGCTGCCAGTGATATTAAACATAGAATGCTGCTTCTACTTGATTCGACAGATATATTTATTGTCTGAAATAAATTGGATTCGAGTCTGAAATACTGTTTATCTGTCTACCCTGGAACTGGCCCTGTGCAACTTCAGACATTCCAAAATACATAAATTTTTACTAAATGAAGAAAAGTCTCTATGAAACGGATTTTTCTTTATAGTTGTAAGCCACTGCCAGTGTAAAACAGCAGCATAAAAGATGGCTTTATGAAGGGAGATGGTGGTATAATTTATTGTGTTTTCCTTTGCAAACATACAGAATGGGAAATAGCTCTGTTGGGGGAAAAAAAGACATAAAATAATTGTGATAATATTTAGAACTGTAAATAGTAACAGCCATTTGGAATCTGGCAGATGATGCGTTTAGTTGATATTCTGTCTTTGAGTGACCAAGGCTGTTTATCTCAAGGAAAGGTAAAAATTGCAAATTCAGTGCAACAGAGTCTCCTTTTAAGCTGTAGATGACGCAAAGCATTAATGCTTTGGGTTACTTAATTTTTGATGTGCTACTCAAAACTGTACCATCATTCTTGTCACTGAAACTCTAACGAGGGAAAAGTGTACTGAGAAGTGAGGTAACAGCTGGAGGAAATGATACCCAGCATTCTCAAGTGTACTTCTATCACAGTAGGGAGGTAAACTTCAAATGATCTCTCCTGTCAGTGGAGATGGAGGGTGGTAGCCTCAAGGTGATGGAGAAATGATCAGCGGGATGTAGTAGCACGTCCAGTTGATACCAGAAGATGTGTAACTTTTATTATTGGCTGATTTTCCTTTAAAGGATTTCTAACTTAGAGTTTTCTGAGTTTTGAATAAAGTTTGTCAAGCACTAGAGACATAAACTTCTTAACTTGTGTATTTTTCTAAGTTCTTGTTGGCAGAACTAAGCTTTGAAATTGAGAAATCATTTAAAAACTGTTCTAGTTCTCTAGACGCTGTTCCTTTTCTTTTTATCTTTAAGGGAGTAAACCAGATTGACAATGATCTGAAAGCAAGAGCCTCAGCATACAATAATCTGAAAGGGAATCTTCAGAATTTGGAAAGAAAGAATGCGTAAGTCACATTGTTTTTTGCTAATGTAGCACAGGAAAGCTATCTAACAACGAAAACTTAGTAATGTGTGAAGAGGTACAGGCTCTAAACTTAATGTATTTTTGAGGTGTTTATCAATCTTGAATAGCAGCTGTCATAAAAGAACACTTATTTCCAGCTGACTTGATGCTAATAGCTCACTTGTGATTGATAAGCAATTACGAAATACACAAAAGCATGTACAAATAGTATCAGTTGCTGGAGCTTTTGAGAGAAGCTTGCTGTTAAAGTGCTAACACTGCTGCTTAGGTGTCTGTCTAAACCAGGAAGTCTTTCCCTTCACTCCAATTTATGCTTTAAGCATATCACTATTATGGGGTTTCTTCCCTCAAAATTAACCAGCAGAAAGACAGCTGTTGCATACATGCAGATAATAAATTAAACAAGGACTCTGTGCTGTCTTGTCATGTACATGTGATGATCATATGAAATACAGTTGAGGTACAGTAGTTCTGCTGTGCAAGTATGGTTGATTAATTTGACCCAACCCTACCATTACAGTTAATGGTACAAGCCTGCTGACTGATTCAGAACCTTGTGTCATACTAATGATAGCCATTTTATGAGTGAGCCTGAACTTCCGTCTTAAGCCGTGGTAGTTTGTCAGCTAAGCCCCATTAGATCTGTGTATGTTCTTAGTCTTTTGTGAATATGAGGCAATATGCTGCCTTAAATTTTTATCGAGGTTCTGTATGTAGGTCTGTACTAGGTTAGTTGTAACTCTGAGGCTCCATATACTAGACTTCACAATTAATGGTTTTAATGGTTCTTGTGTTTTTAAATCACTTTTAAAAAGAGAACTTGGCTTCTTAAGTGTGTGAGGTATTTGGAATATGGAAATGACGCACAGCGGTGCAGCTACTGATAAAAACTTTTGGTGACTTTAGACAGTAAGATATAAAATGCATATAAGGACATTTTGTTTGCTCTCGTAATAGTCAATGCTTAAGTAAAATATATTTTTGAAAATGTTACACTATCAAGCACTGGAAACTGTCGTCCAGACAAATTCAATTCTTAAACATGTATTTACTCTGGCTGTCTTTGTTTCTCTGCAGCGGAAGCTTGCTAACCAGAAGTCTTGCTGATATTGTAAAGAAAGAGGACTTTGTACTTGATTCAGAATATTTGGTCACGTTATTAGTGATTGTACCGAAGTAAGTTTATTGTTTGTCCTAAGAGCAGAATAAAATAAGAAATTTAAATGAAATAATAGATCCCACAACCCTATAATACTCTAAGAAAGGACATCTGAATTTCTTTGGGGTTTTCCTGGATGAACTAACACAAGCTTTTGGATGCTTAGTAGAGGCAAATGAGCCTATGTACCTGTATTCCATTGTTCACGAGAACTCATCATAAGGAATGCTGAGTGCTCATGAATTTCTTTAAGCAACTGGAGATCAGACTTATGTATTTCTGACAACCTACACCTGGTTTGGAAGATGTGATGATTAAATGTTTTTAGCATTTTTTGGAAAAACTTGATCCGTTAATCTAAGATTTTTACAGTACTAGAAGTCTAACCATAACCTGTGTCTTCTCTAGGTTAAATTATAATGACTGGGTTAAGCAATATGAAACACTAGCAGAGATGGTTGTACCACGTTCCAGCAAGTAAGTTGTTAAATGCTAAATCTCATATTTCTGTGTGCTATATTTTTTTAAATGTTCTTTATCTGTAGTGACTTTGAATTTTAAAGATTGGTCAAAAACTTGTCAGAATATCTAGCTTTATAGTTTTATCTGATGAAGCTTGATTATGTTGTAGTTAAGGAAAAATTCAAAGGATTTCTAACTCTAGGGTTAACAAAGTTATCAAACTAACTTATGTGGGAATAGTAAAAGAATTGAAAAGTTAATCTAGTTCAGGTCAGGCACATTCAGCTTCAAGCTAGTACATGGTGGGGTTTAGCAACAAATAATTAGCTGCTAGCCTGTAAGCTTTATTCCTGTATTCAGAGGACTTGAAACAAGTTACGTATACTCTTTGAAAGCTGCTAAAGAATGAAGAAGCGGAAGTGTAGATGGTTTTCTTGTGTGCAAAGAAAAGTTACTTGTTTCTTTTGGGCTAACAAAGGTCCTTGGTACCAAGCTGGTGCTTGGTGTCTGTGGTGGGCAAGACTGAGGCCAGGATTTGGTAATACCGTTAAGCAATCTTGTAACCACACTGAAAATAAAGTCAACATTTAGCACAAAGCGTTGCTATGTTTTTAACTTTAACTGACAGAGTAGGGTTTTGATCAGGCAGATCTGATATTACCAGCTCTATGCCAGTAATAAAATCTGAACTTAATCTGGCTAAATTCACATTTGAGTTGGATCGACTTAAGCCTAGTGGGAGATCTGCTAATGATTCTTAGGAAACCATGACCTAGGGATAGCTTAAGAAGAGGTGACTTGTTAAACTGTTGGATAATGCTTGTATTGAAGACAGTATGACACTGAGGAACAGTCTAAATCTCTTCAAGCTTTTTTCCTAAGGTGAAATCTCAAAATAAGCAGTATTGTCTTGAACTGTAAAACACTAAATTTAGGGGTCGTCTTTACAGTCTAAGAAACACTTTTTTTTAATCTACCTATGCCTTTTTAGTTTGTGTCCTTTTCTATTTTAAATCCATTTCCTTTTTCTTTAAAACACCCATTTCTAAGAATTCTGTAGTCCAAACTTTTCAGTGTTAAACCAGCTTTAATTCCTTTTTCTGTAAAATAATTTTAACTTGAGCAAATATCCAGACATGTATGAAGTGTTTCTGAGTGGTGAAGTCTCTGAATGTGAAATGGAAACTGCCATCCTTTAGCAAATGCTCTTATTACTTCCTTTGTAAAGTTTCAGTTACTTTCTGTATAAGGCATTTAATTTGGGAACTAATCCTGTGTGATTATCTACATTTATGTTCTTGCCTAGTAGCGATAAAGTACAACTTAAGCTACCGTATATCAGATCTGTGGTGACTTGAACCTTATTAATTCTGACACTTTTTTTTTCTGTGTAGTGTACTCTTTGAGGATCAAGATAGTTACCTTTGTAATGTCACCTTGTTCAGGAAGGCAGTGGATGACTTCAAGCATAAAGCCAGAGAATACAAGTAAGGCTTATTTTGTGTGTGTGCTGTCTCTCGTGCATTGAAGGATCTCTAGATAGCCACTTCTGATTTTATTCACTTCCAAATGCAGATTTATGGTCCGTGACTTCCAGTATAATGAAGAAGAGATGAAAGCGGATAAAGAAGAAATGAATAGGCTGTCAACTGACAAGAAGAAACAGTTTGTAAGTCTGTATAAACTAGTCATTATAGAAACATGAGGCATCTAAGACTTGTTATTGCTACATAACAATTTCATGAACTTGTGATTCTGAGAAAGCATTGCAAGGATGACATGACGTAGTCAGCTTGCCACCCAGCTAATCTGCTCAGGGATAAATGAGTTTCGTGTAGCATAAATGCTCCTCGCTGTGTTGAACCAAGTGCTGATATTGCAGCTGATAATATATGAAGTTTGAAAATGGGCAAGCATTTGAATGAAATAATCAGATATTACTAAAATGATCATTAATATAGTTAGCCCACGGCAGCTGAGATAGTGTACTGAAGAGACAACAGAAGTCTCATTAAATTTCTCTTTATTTAGTATCGAAACACTCTTGAGCCATTATGTCCATAGTGAACTCTGCCTTTAAGTTGTCTTTATTATCATGGTACAGAAATGGAGTATCTGCTCAAACATGCTTAATGGGCTGAATCTTTTCCTGAAGTTTGAATAACTTTCCCCCCCTTCCCTTTCACAGGGGCCTCTGGTTCGGTGGCTGAAAGTTAATTTCAGTGAAGCTTTCATTGCATGGATTCATGTGAAAGCACTACGAGTTTTTGTTGAATCTGTTTTAAGGTAATGACGTAGCCCTGAACAGTACTTTTCTTCCCAGACTTTGTAAGAATTTACATCTAGCTTGGGTTTACCAAACTGAGGTGAGTGAATGTCACCCTTCTGGGAAGGAGGAAACAAGAAGTAGGGCAGTAAGAACAGCTGATGGCAATAGCCCTTGTTGCCAGCTGTAGAATATTTGAGGTAGATATTTGTGTATCTTGCCCCTTGGATAGTCTTTCCACCAGTGCTTTAGGAATTACAGGTACTCTGTAAGTTGCAGCAAGGCATTTCTGCTGATTCGTAGCTTGCTTTGAGCTGCTTGTAAAAAGAGCTCACTATATCTTCTATTTAAGTGGGAAATGTGAGTCGTTCAGAATGAAAAGTATTTAGGCTTTGAGTAATATAGCTTAACATCTTGAAATGTATGCTTTTTCTTTAAAACATGCCTTGCTAAGAATTTTGTAGTCTAAACTTTTCAGTATTAAACCGTTCAGTATTCTAACTATAAAATTTCTCTGCTTTTTTTCTTCATCCCTATTCAGGAGTATAGTTACTAAGGTGACTTAAGAACAGCTGTAGTTGTTCTGCAGAAGGAAGGACCTGGATTTTTTTTGAGTTGAAAGGACTTCTGCCTTAGTCAGAAAGGTTTTTTCTTAGCCTTTTTGATAAGTTATCATTAAAGGAGACAACAAGAGAAAAAAAAAACCCATTAACTTGCATTCTAGTCTGTTTCATAGCTGCTGTGGGCTTATTTTGAAGACAAACTTGAGTAAGGAAGAAAGCTGAACTTGATTTGAATATTGGCAAATGTTTCCACACACCTAGAAAGCAGGTTTGAGTGGAGACTAGATTCTCCCACCTCGTGGCATAAGCAGTCTTGCAAGTAAACTAATTGGAATGTTCAAAATGCAGTCTAAGACTTCAGGTAACTTTCAGTATTGTGCTAAGTACTCAAGGATTTAAAATGATTTTAAAAGCGTTTAGACTTCTGTTTTGTTATTTTAAACTTGAAGAAAGAAGTTCTACTTTATTGATGCTTTATGAATTGTAGAAACAGAATGGTGTTGCAAACATGAAAATGAGCAAAATTTCCTCCTCAGCAATAGGATTCTTTCTCAAAATAAAACAAAATTCTGCTTTGAAAGATAAAAGAAGGCTTACTTCAGCATTTTCATCGTTTTCTGCTTGACTTCCTCAGGTATGGTTTGCCAGTTAACTTCCAGGCAATGCTGCTTCAGCCTAATAAGAAAACAATGAAGAAACTGAGGGAGGTTTTGTATGACTTATACAAACACCTTGACAGCAGTGCAGCAGCTATCATTGATGTAAGTATTTTTGTAACTGCTGCTCCCCTTCAATATTGGGTTTAGTCTGTTTAAACAGAAAAAAGTCCCTTGGCTTTATTGGAAAGCTACACCTCTCCATATTTTCCATCATTCTCTCACAGTACAGAAAACTGTCCCCTTATAAAAGTGCCACTTCTATTTTACATTTTTGCAAAGCACATGGTATTTAAAGTTGCAACCAATGCATTTCATGAGCTGTCTGGTATAAAAGTCTCATGTAATTTCTTCTTGCTGCATTCTTTCCTACTACCGATGGAAAGAGATCTGACAGACTGCATGCATGTTTATATCCTCAAAGAATTCAAACAAAGTCAACTTTGATCTGAAACTAGGCTTAAGGAACTTGAACACATTTCATATCTTTTTTGAGTCCAGAAGGAATACATAAATTGTCCACAGTCTACAGTAACAGTGGCCTTAATACTGAAACAACTTTGTTGTTGTCGTTGCATTGCTATCTTTGTTTTTAAGTTAACATAGCTGTCCTTCTCTGCTGAAGGAGGCTGAATTGATGTCAAGATGGAGTCCCCCTTTCCTGTAGAGGTCTCATTTTCATGTTTAAAACTGGTTTGCTGGGAGGCTTATTCTATTAATTTGTTTTGTATTGAAAAGCAGTGATTTTCGTAGTTAAAGATTAACTAAAGACAGATCACACAATGAGTTCAGTTGAATTCAAAAAGACTAAAAATAATCTATCTTAATGTTATATTTAATGTAATGTTTTTCCAAAGTATTTCCAGGCCTATTTGGGGAAAGGGGATGTGAGACAAGGTGAAAATTAAAGATGCTGAACTTCATGTAACTTCCTGGATCATTTGGCACCCTATAACATTCTTTTCATAAACAGCCTGTATTTAGTCATAAAACATAATTGCACTACTTTTCCTTCCATTTAGTGGCGGTGTGTTTACTATAGCAACAGATGTGAATTATTGATACAAAGCTACTTAGACTTTGTAAAAGCACTTGTACTTCATTTTGAAAAATACTGCTGTTCATTTGTCAAAGTTCTGATTTTGTCTGCTACTTAGAGACACTTGAATGTGAAAATTTAAGCTTGAAGCCTTGCCTGGCCTATTTGCTTCTAAAACATGAATGTCTCATCTACTTCTAAATAGGAGACTGAATTGTAAGAGTATAACTGGTTTCAAAACTTTTATTTGCAGGCAACTATGGATATTCCAGGCTTAAACCTCAGTCAGCAGGAGTACTACCCATATGTGTACTACAAGATCGATTGTAATTTGCTGGAATTCAAGTAGAAGTTCCCTAACATGACAATCTTCTCAGTGTTGGTGTAAACAAACAGAAGTGAGGTTGAAGTACAGTAATACTTTTAACACTCTACTAATCATATGCTTGCTTCTTATGTTAGGTGAATTTAACACACAGTGGTCCATCTCTAGGCATTTTGTTTTTAAAGAGCAGTGTAGGTAATCTGCTTTTAAGCAATTATGTCTGTAAATGTATATTGAGAGAATTGAAGTATTTATAAACAGAGTGATTTATTTAAGGAAAAGCTCATTCCTCTTTCATATGGTGGTCTGTGTTAATTCCATTTACCATTGTTTATAAAAAAAACTTGTTTACAGAAGAATAGTGTAAATGTCCATGGCCATTTTGTTCATTTGATTTAGTAGATACAATTGTGTTAACGTTGTTGAACTGTGATGTAAAGTATGTAAAATTGGTATGAAATTGTGCTTTCTGAATGGTTTAAAATTACAATCAAAGCACTGTAAACACAGGAAAAAATAAACATGCCTGTGCAAATGTGTCACTTTCTTGTACCACATATAACTGTGGATCCCTGTGTCTAAACTGAAGCAATGTATATTAAGTCTTCAAATCAATGCTGCATCCTGCATGCAGTGGTAAAAAATGCCATTGACTTCAGCACAAATACTTTTAAGAGATGCAGGTATTACTTTTGCTTTGTGCAGAAATGTTCAAGTATGTTGTTTGGCCACCAAAGCTATGTATGAATGTTTTATCATGTTTAAGTCTTCGTGACTCTAAAGAAAAGATGAGAGATGATTATTGGGAAGATGGGAGTAACCTAGGATGCTAACAAGCTAGGCTGATCTGGGTTTTTTAGATAATTTATTGTCTAATAATAATAATTTTTTGTTCTTTTTCAATCAGTTGAAGCTTGGGACTGCTTTATGGCTTTGAATACTGTACTTTTAGCTGCTCGCTTTTCTTTTTTGGCAGCATGCTTTCTACCATACAGGGAATATGACAGCTTCCTTTTAATGTGTACAGAGAGGGGTTATTTATTTCAGTAGCAGTTACCACAGCTATTGTAAGTATTCTACATATTCCAGTTGCTAAATATGTGGTAAAAACTGCAGTACCTTTTAGAACTGACTTGAATTAAGGCTGAGACTGGAGGAGCACTGATTCTTCAAAATTAGTATTTGAGTAATGTACCCACCGGATTTTTTTCTAATTTGGTCCCTAACTGAAAATACCATTACTGTGAATCTAAGCAGTATAGAGCTTTCAGCTATAGAATCTCTAATTGTGAACGAGAAGCACTTTTGAGGAATTGGCTATCTTTGATGATAAGCCAACATTGAGATCTCTGGTTATTAAGAGAAGGCTACCTTTTGAGTACAAGAGTTGCATCTAGCTACTGATAATGAAATGGGGTTTGAATTCTATACAAAAAAATTTACTGTCTAAATTTACTTTTCTTACTATTATAGGTGAAAGGGGAGAGAGACATCAAGTGAGATCAAGTGTTCAGTTGTGCTCACGCTCCCACACTCTCTCTCACTTCCTTACAGAAGATAACAGCTCCTTACTGTGTTGACCAGGTTGTTAAAGTGTGTGAGCAAGTGGAAGGGGTTTTCCCCTTTATCACCCAGCTCCACCCCTTCCCCCGGCTTTCATCATTACTATGTACAAAGATAGTCATCTTGGTTCTGAGCCCACTGTAACTGAGAGAAACTACTTAGGGGTAAAGAGGTTTGGGGTTTTTTTGGTCCACTGGGAGCATTTAATCCTGCTTCCCTGATCACAGAAGGAATCAGGCTGAACTGTTGTCTCTGTTCCTCATCTTAGTTCTCTTTTGATTTTGTTTTCAAAGCCTTCCTACAAACAAGTGCAGTATAAAGGCTTAGGATTCCAGTAAGTACTATACAAACTGCTCTGCTGTATACTTTGCCCTGTTCAAGGTACCTAGTGCCTGGTAAATCAGCACTAGATTCTTCTCAAGTGAATGGAAGCAAGAGGCAGCTGGACGATAGAATGACAACACCACCCAAGGTGAGGGAAGCAGTCAATATGCTGAAAGGCAGGTTTGCTGCTCAGAGGGATGTGGCTATGCTGGAGAAATGGCCTGACAGGCACAGCTTGAACTTCAGCGAAGAGAATTGCGAAGTCCAGCGTCTGGGGAGGAACGACCCTTACGCACCAGCTCGAGCTGGGGGCTGACTAGGCAGGAAGCAGCTCTACCGAAAAGGACCTGGGACTGCTTGTGGAAAACAAGTTGCACTTGTAGCAAAGGTCAACCATCCCCTGGGGTGTTGTTAGTAAGAGGGTCGCCATCCTTCCCCAATATTTGGCACTTGTGAGGTCACGTCTGGCGCTGGAGTACAACAATGGAGGAAGTCCAGTGGAGGCTTCCCAAGCTTGTCAGGGGGCTGGAGCATGTGACGCCATGACATACTGGGAGAATTGTGTCTCTTAATACTGGGGAAGAGATGGAGAGAAAGCAAAGGACAGATGTTACTGATATTTACAACTGCCTGGGCAGCGGATATAGAGAAGATGGAGCCCTCTGATGTGCCTGAGCATTTCTCAGAGGTACATGGCAATAAGATGAGAGGCAGAGGACACAAGTTTGAATATGGGAAATTCTCATTAGAGGCTGTGGTGTGTTGACCTTGGCTGTCTGCTAGATACCCCCCCAGCTGCCCTCTCATTACCCCTATTCAATGGGACAGGGAGAAAATAAGGTAAAAAAGCTCATGGGTTGAGATAAAGACAGGGGGATTGCTTACCAGTTACTGTCACAGGCAAAACAGACTTGACTTGGGGAAGATTTAGTTTATTGCCAATTAAAATAGATTTTTAGATGGTGAGAAGCAAACAAAAAATAAAACACTTTATCCCCCTTCTTTTTTCTGAGGCTCAGCTTCACTCCTTTATTCTCAACCTCCTTCCTTCTGCCCGGCAGCACAGAGGGATGGGGAATGGGGGGTTACGATCGGTTCATAACAGTTCATCTCTGCTTCATCTTCTTCCTCGCACTTTTCCCTGCTCTAGTATGGCTCCTTCCACAGGCTGCAGTCCTTCAGGATAAACTTAGTCTAGCATGGGTCCCCTATGGGCCACATTGCTTTCAGGGCATGTCCACCTGGTCTGATTTGGGTCCTCCAGAGGCTACAGTGTGGATATGTGCTCCGGCTTGGACCTGTCCATGGGCTGCAGGACAATACCTGCTCCGCTGTGGTCCACTCTGTGGGCTGCAGGGAAATAACCTGCAGTGCATTTCCTTTCAGCGATGCATTTAGACTGGAGTTATTTGTGGCTGAACAGACTCATAATTACTGTTTCCAAGGAAGGGAAGATTATAGAGTATTAAATGTTAGTGACCAGCCACGGAATAGCTGATGTCTGATACCATTGGGCTTTCCTAGTGGTGAAGAGAAATACTTTGGATACAGGGGGTGGGAGTTAGTCTGTGTTAGATTTGATTTATAGGGAAAGGTTAGAACCAAAAACTTCTATTTTTACAGTTTATTATATTTCTATGGTTCTTAAAAGATTTCTGGCAAATGGAACAGGGTTTGAACTGTGTAGAAATGGAAAGTTTTCATTCTATTTCTGAGAAGCATGCCAGGTGATTAAGATAGAAAGTAATTTGTGGAAGAAATGAAGAGGGTAGTCTACTCTGGAATGTGAGGAGTACGGGAATTTTATTTTTGTTATAATAAGTAACAACAGATGATTTATGTCCTAATAGGAAAAGCAGGCATAACTGGATTGTCATAATTTACATGTGTACGGTCAAGATCTGAAAAGGGGAGACAGCTGCTGCACAGCAGAAGTATCTAAAATAGCAATGTACTAATGTTCTAGTAAATTTAATATAGATCTTGAAATGCTGATGGATACCATTTGAAAACTGACAAATAAAACTTAGTAATGAAATTGTGTGAGAAAGCAATACCTGCAGTGAGTTCCAGGATCACCAGGACTGGGGAGAAGGAGCGGAGAACTGGGCAGCAGAAGAGGAAATGTGGTAGCTCAGGAGCTTGCAGAAGGGGCAGTTAAGCAGATGCCGAAAAGAGCTAGTAACTCATTAATGAGCAGGAAAGAGGTATGGGGGAGCGTCACCATAGCTGAGGACAGAGCAGGAGAGAATTTCGGTGAATTTAAGGAAAACGAAGCACAAACAATTTTGTTGGAAGAAAACAATCACCACTCTATCTTGAAGAAGGGCAAGAAGATGATCTGGGGAACTACTGTCTGGTCAGCCTCACCATAATCCCGTGGAAGATGATGGAGCAAACTGTATTAAGGACAGGAAGGTGATTAAGGGTAGTCAGTGCCTTACCACCCTGATAGCCTTCTACAATGGGATGACTAGCTCAGTGGATGAGGAGAGTAGCGGATGTTGTTGATCTTGACTTCAGTGAGGCCCTTGACACTTGTCTCCTATAGCATCCTCATTGACAAACTGATGAAGTACAGGCTAGGTCAGTGGGCAGTGAGGTGGACTGAAAACCAGGTGAACTGATGGGCTCAAAGGCTTGTAATCAGTGGCATGAAGTCTACCCAGAGGCCAGTTACTAATGGTGTACCGCAGAGGTCAATACTGGGGCCAATATCGTTTAGCATTTTTATTAATGACCTGGATGATGGGACAGAGTGCACCCTCACCGGGTTTGCTGGTGACACAAAACTGGGAGGAGTGGCTCATACACCAGATGGTCCCCATTCAGAGGGCCCTCGATACATGGGAGAAATGGGCACATGGGAACCTCATGAAGTTCAGCGGAGGGAAATGTGAAGTCCTGCATCTGGGGAAAAATAACCCGATGTACCAGTATAGACTGGTGGCCAACTGACTGGGAAGCAGTTTTGCAGTAAAAGGACCTGGGGCTTCTTTTGGAAAAGAAGTTGAGCGTGAGGCAGCAATGCGCCCTTGCAGCAGAGAAGGCCAACAGCATGCCTTAGGAAGAGCATTGCCAATGGTGATCAGTCCCCTCAGCTCAGCACTATATCACAGAATGACGGTAGTTGAGGTGGGCAGGCACCACTGAAGATCAAGTCCACCCTACCCCTGCTCAAGGCAAGGTCAGCTAGAACAGATTGCTCAGGACTGTGTCCAGTAAGGGGTTGAAAATCTCCAAGACTGGAGACTGCACAACCTCTCTTGGCAACCTTCTCTGGTGTTCAAACACCTGTGCGGTAAAACTGCTTTCTTATGTTTAGACAGAATCTGTCGTGTCTCAATTTGTGCCCATTGGGCACCACTGAGAAGAGTCAGGCTCCCTCTTCTTTACACCTTCCCGTCAGTTATTCATTAACATTGACAAGATGCTCCTGAGACTTCTTATTTTCTTGGGCAGAGGGTGGTGAGTGCTCCTGCAGTATTCAAGCACTTGCTTCTGAGGCTCCTTTTGTTTTAAGGAATATAGCTGTTAAACATGGCAATCCACAGCGACCAGCAGATGCAAGATCTTTGGTTCGTTACTTTCTTTTTTTAATACATATAAAAGGTTTTTGAAACACTCAGCTTTTAAACCTCTGTATTAGTTTAAT